GGAGGTAGTGGGCTGCCCAACAGCGGTGAGCCAAAGTTGCTGCTGCGGTGGATCGCAGGTGGCTGAAACCTGATCTAACGTGATGTACGAGTAGGTTCCTGTAAACCGCAGAATCGACTGCGGGGCCTGCATCGGGTTTTGAAGCACCGGCACAGAGTTCAGTGCCGACGCTACATTTTGAAGCCCCAGGAAGGCCACAAGTCGAAGGGGGATGGATTGTGGGTTCACACAAATCGAGAGGCGTACCGCCGATAATGATCAGCAGCCCACTGTCCACTTCGTGCAAAAAGGTTAGTGACTTTTGGCAGATTAGTGTGGTCAGAAAATGGTGACCAGCAAAAAATCTAAATCTGGTCAGATCAGAAGCAGTCAGGCAGACGACTTCTACAGACGCTTGTGAACTGCCCTGGCAACCTCATGGCCTTAGCAAGTCAACAAGCTGAGACTAACGAACATCGCTGGCAATATCCACACATTTGTTTGCAATGCTCAGCGCAACCCCCCCCCCACCCGGCTAAACGCAGGGAAGATCCACCGAGACACGAGAGAGGTACGGCGCGCTCCAGAGAATTCGCATCTCAGACGAAACGCTCAAGAATCCTGCAATTCCAAACACGCCTCGCTCCATCAACGTCTTGTCCACCTGCGGTCACTGGTGAGGTTGTCGATCAATGCGCAAGGGATTCGGGGCCTACTACTGAAAACGAAGACTTGTTGGTCGCTGTGACGGTTCACCTGGTGAATGCTCGCCACATCAATGAAGCAAGTGTCCGTGCTGCGGCCACACCTTGCAGACAGAATGCTAGAAGCCAGTCAAACAACCAACTCGACAAGCTATGTTCGTCCATCCTGAATCATCTTCAATGACGGAGCAAGACTCTCGCCTACCCCGGCCCTCCCGCCTATCTGGCCAAAGCGGGGTAGACATCAGCCCCAGCCCCGTCGCCAGACAGCTGCAAGTCATGATCCAGAAGCCCATCGGACAAACATCGACGAAGCCCATGATGTTCGCCCGGTATATCAGCGGCATTGGCAGAACATCTGCCAGGCAAAGAGCGGTGCACAGTGTTGCGGCGAAAAGCCAGGAGACCAATCCGTAGTGCCAGCCGCATTGGAGGGACAGGGACAGGATTTTCCATCTTCCAGGGCTTCGCCAAGTGTGAGAAACGAACGCCTGGAAATGCGTCACCCTTGTGGACATGTTGTACAGGCTCATGCGGTCTTCGTCTGCCCATGTAGCGGGGTTGTATCTCCAGAGGCGACCGAAACCCTCAAGTGATTTTCGCAAGGACATGCCACGTGCCACTCCCATGTCGATGTGGGAATACCTCCCCAATGTGTGGCGCTCCGTCTTGCTCATCCCGATAGTCGCCCCTGAACTTCCACGGGTGGGCAAGTCCGGTATCTCCATCAAGGTGGAATACGTGCAGCTGCGATAAAGTCCGCCAGTCTCAGCATCAACCGCAGGATCCTCGCCATACTTTATGGCAGGAATTTGCTCAAGTTGCCCGAGCTTTGATTCCGCCTCCACCCCTTCCACGGCACCAGGTTCCTCTCCGGGCGTGCAACAAGCCGAAGAAGGGGCGCAGGAGGGTCCAACACCCATGCCTGCTCCCTTCTACACCTATGTGCTGTGGACTTGCGCCCCATGGAACCCTGACCTTTTGAGGTAATCTACAGCAAGTTCGATGTCAATACACAAACATTGTTCCAAGTACAAAAAGAAAAAGTAAGACGATACTCCACTCTGCGATTACTCTGGAACATGCTTCTTTCGTGGCGTCGCGAGGCCAACGCTTCTAGAACAGGCTTGAGCAGGGTCGTAGACACTTTGGATTTGATGTGGCTCGCACTTCTTTGGCATTCTTTGGGGAGGAAACCGAAGCCACTTTATCTGCAGTGGTGCAGGTGCCACATTTTCACCCAGCGGAACAAGACGTTAGGCCATTAAGCTGGTGGGTCGACATTCGCTGTGATTTAGGTGTACCCGGGTCGGGTGAAACAGCAAAGTTCCACCACGACCTGGAAGCCTCTTGAACTGTGCGAGAAGCCCAACTCTCGGGAGAGTGATTGTGAAACCAGCGAAGCATCCTTCAATCCCTTGGCATCTGGGCCCCGGCAGGAATACAAAGCCCCAGGATGATGATGGTGGGGATGTAGAAGAACAGGTATTCAGCCTGCATCTTCTAAGTGTTGGAAGGCTACTAGGCTGCCAGGGTCACTCAGTCTGCACCATGCCTTCATCAGGAGTTTGTAGTTGGTCCAGATCAAGATGCGCTGGCGCGGATAGAATGGAACATGCTCCTGTCAGGTCGGGATAGACTCATGCATCCTTCTGGACTTGCAAGCTGAAGGCGCCTGGTGTGTGAAGTACAGCTCGGAGATTGGCTTGGGCGGATCTTGGGAGACCACCTCAGCGAGGTAGCCAGCTCAAAGCGGCCCATACGGATGTGCACCAAATTGCACCAAGCCCCCTGCCCAGTTCTGGCCGCGCTCCTGAAGCAAAGTGTCGCAGGTTCCCGAGGTCGAAGTCTCGAAGCGTGCAGGTGTGAAGGACAGTCCTTCACAAGCTTCATCCGAGGGAAGTGATCCGTCGGGTCAGGGTCGTGGTAGTCCTGCACACCGCATTGGCAGTCATTATCCTGCACATACAGCCTGATGCGTGGAATGCTTTCGCGGTGGACCGCAGGTTCTGCGCTCATATCGATCAGCTATTCAGCTATTGAAGCTATTGCTTTCAGATTCCCTGATTTGCCATCTTGCGCGCGTGCATCTTGTGGGAGAGTCCGAACTACAACACAGCTTTGCCGATTTGTCGACTTGATTTTGCGTCCCCTTTCCACCATAATGCTATAATGCGTTGAATCTCCTGCAATCGACTAGCCCCTAACCCCGGACCTGAACACAACTTGAAATGAAAAGCTTGCCAACTTCTGCAAAATAGCCACGTAGAGATTACCAGAAAAAAACACAGAACACAGGTGAGAAAGACGCGGTCTGGCTTTCCGGTTCAAGAACCCTCCTCGGCATCCTCCTCTTCTGGCCTTGCAAGTAGCACAGCTTCGGCATGCACTACTCTGGCTCGGCACGGCTCAGCTGGCCTAGTGCCATCTGGGTTGAGATGTGCTCGGGGATCACCTCCGGATCCAAAGCGGCGGCACGCCTCTGGGTCTGCGGAGCGCTCTCGGCTCGGAAAGTCGAACAGGACTCACAAGGACAAAAACACGTCACTGGAAGCTCGGAAAAACTTGCGGCTCTGACCATGGCAGGGATCCATTGGCGCGGCCTCTTCGGCTGCGGCCAAGCAGTCGGAGCGGAAACCTCTGTGAACTTTCTGAGTTCGCCACTGCACGGCTTTTGCTTCTCCCAGGTTCGCAACGCCTCGAGCATCTCTGTTTCAGCCACGACCGGCTGGAGAAGCGCTGTGTGTTTGTGGGTGCACGTTTCTTGGGTCCCTGCGGCAAGCACTGCGCAAGAGGCCCCGAGACAGCATGGCCTCGGATTCACAGAGCGCAAACGGTCGCTCTTCGGCCTTCAAAGCACGAGCTCCGCGCTCAAAGTCAAGCGCTGGCCAAGCAAACGAAATGCAGCGGCTTGAGTTTGCCACGGCTGTGTAGTGAAGACAATCGGCTATGAAATTGCCCGAATGCACCCCTCGTAGAAACACACATGCCAGTGGCTGCAACACATACAATTTCCGGATGCATCTCTTTGATTCTTGTGATACTCTCGCGACTCCTCTCGCAAAAGACTTGAGCTCATGACTGGGTATAAGTAAGCATCCCTCGTTCTCGGGGTCGACATAGCTCTGTACTGCGAGCTCTTGACTTAGCATTTGCCACAAAGCCGGGCCAAGGAGCGCCTCGCCTTTGGACTGGCGCCCAAGACCCACAATCAGCGACAAGCTGCCATCACTTCTCAGACCCAGCGCCACGTCGCGTCTGCTCTTCGCATCTTTCTGGGCGCTCGGGCTCAGCGCCACTTCCAACAAAGCCACGCGAACGGCGAGCTTTGCGAGCTCGACGGTCTTGCCACGCAAGAAAAGTCCCTTCGGCTCAGCAGTCAAACCAAGCATGGCATTCTCTCTGTACAATGCCACAGCTGCTGCCATCTCGCCCGATATCACCATGGCATCTAGCAGCTTGTCCCAGATTCCTGCATCAGGTGCGAGTCCATCCTCGCGCATGTCCTCGAACAACTTAAGTGCATGCTGCCACTGGCTACAACGGCTGCAAGAGGAGATTGCCGCATCGAAACAGAGAAGCTGCTCCCTGCTTGGACTGTGAACCGCGGCTTTGCTTGCGGCGGCCGCCTGGCAGCTGGCCTTGAGGGGCCCGTCCTCTGTCATGCGCAGATCATCCAGCTTGCAAAAGCGGCGGCCTGGCGGTGGACCGAAAAAAGTATTGCGAGAGTCGGAGTTCAAGCCATGACACACCGAAATGCCACGAAGATCCAGGAACTCGTGTCCCATCCAAGCCCGCCTGCTGGGCGCCGGTCTCCGAAGGGTTCCTTCCACCTCGTGCAGCGGGCAATAGATCCAGGCGGTATGAAGATACTACCAGCATCTGGTCTTGCGAAACCCAATGAAGGGCTACGAATACAGATAGTAGGGGCCTAGGCGGTCCACACATGGGCTTCGGAAAACGATTGCAAGAGCAGACAACTTGTCTCGTTGTCAGAGCTCGGGTTCACGACGGGACATAGTGTCGCATGTGAGCCTCGTGCTGAAGAGTTGGCCTTTGGCTATGCCAGTGCACAACATTGCAACGGGACGTGTGTGCGTGTGCGCGTGGGTCTTTTTTCCAGTCGAGGTTCTGCAGAACCTCCTCTCGTTAAAGCTAAACATGGATCTCAGGTAAGAGGCCTGGTCCAGACTGCAGCCGAAGCCAAGACTGGGGGGCGGCACAATCTTGGAAAAGCCACTCCTAAAGTTAGCCCTGCTGCACAGCCTGAGAACTAAAAAGCAGCCAGCCGACCACCAAAGCACACAACAGGATAGCATTCCTGTGAAAGGTCTCGTACCAGAAGCTTTGGTCGTGGGCAAACAAACTCTGGACTGAGCCTGCGAGCAACTTGAACTTTTCCAGTTCAGCTCAGCAGACACGTCGCGGTGCTCCCTCCGAAGCACGCTTTAAGCCTGTGGCTTAAGCGACGAGCAAAAATTAGTGACACGGGTCGAGCGGAGGATACAGCTCCGTTGCGATCTGAAAATTATCTGAAAGCAGAGCCCAGGAGCACGCCTGGGCTTACATTCCTCAGTCTCCGATGTCTTCCAGACCTTGGCCACACTCCGGTGCTTAGAGCCTGAGGCGTGCTTTTGCTCTATCCATTGCAGCGGGACCACAGATGTCCATAGCCCGATGGGAGAAGAGGTCCTCAGAAGAACGCACAGATAGCTCAGGATAGCAGCCGTCAAAAATGATGCCGCGCTGCCCCGAAAAGAAATCGTTCTACCGTGCTCTCCATTCTGTCAGGCATCCCTGGGATCATCGGAGCCCTTCTTCTCCAGGTCTTCCCTGAGGCCATCCTGCAGGCAAAGCAGCATCACAAGTGGCCTAAGACAGACTGCCAGAAACGAGGAGGGATGATGACAGGGAAGCATTCGCAACGTATCGAGACCTCCAACTCCTGAAGAGCTCTTTCCTGTTCCTGGCTGCAGACACTCGGAGCTTTCTCGCAAAAAATCTGCAGGAGAGTGTTGCTGGGCCACCGCACGCCCAGCGCAGCGCCAACACGAAGTGCAGTCGCAGGTGCCTCCCGGAGGGGCGGGGGGGGGCCCCAAAAGTCCGAGCGAAGGGCGGGTTCCCCGCTTCGGCCTCGACCTCCTCCGTCTGAGAGCGCTCGGGCCTCGGCGCTGCTCCCGTTTTCCACCGTTTTCGGCTTTCGATCTCTGCACATCCGGGGACCCTGCTCTTGGACCTTGGGCAACAGCGAGGGTCGCAAAACTTCTGAGTAACAAGACCCCGATGTCCTTGCCGTCCCACCTCGCTTGTGACAGCTACATCTTCCGCCGTTTCGATTTCAGGCCTGAGGCGAGAGGCTGCAGTCTGCAGTACATATTGGCGGCAGTCACTTCGACGTTTTCAGACGCGCAGAAGCAAGAGACCATGCATGAGCTGAGGCACTCGGGTTCGGGTCCCAGAACATCAGCTAAATCCAGGTCCTGTACAGCACGACAGCACCAGTTGCATTCAACAGATCTGCAGAATCGTTTCCGCTGCCAGCGACGCAGCATAGCAGCTACGCGAAAGCAAGCTTTAAATGTCCTCCACCTGGACAGGATATGCAGCGGCTTCGCAAAGAGATGCTGCCTGACGGGCCAAAGTCGAAACCGGACAGTTCGATCGGCCGTGCGTGTGTGCGCCTTTGTCGCACAGCAGTTGTGCCAAGTTCGCTTCACGAATCGTCTCACTGATCTGTTCTACTTACAGATTGCGAAATATGGACTGGGACCCAAATCTAGGAGGAGGGAGGCTGGCATCAACCCCTTCCACATCGGCTTTCTCGACCCCACAGCCAATTCCGGCAAACCCCACCGTAGCAAGTCCGGCTCCCGGCCATGTTGCTCCGCTTGTGACTTCCATTCACACCGAATGGCGCTCGCTCTTGCAGATTGGTTGGGTTTCCAAGCAATCCACCCTGACTCCTGTGCCCGAGTGCCAAATCCCAGGGTACGACTGCTATGAGGGGGGGTTGCATGATAAGATGGCTCCGAGCACAGGCATGTAAAACTGAAAGCTTCTGAAGGACCACTTCGCAGCAAGTAGCCGCAGACATCAGCTCGCTATCACGCTGCGAAAATGAATGACTGGATATAGCAGCAGCAGAAGAAGAAACCACCTGTGCCCGGCTTGGCACCACTCAGCCACTCATTCCGCACGGGATGCCAAGCATGTCGAAAACAGCAGGTGCTCCGCAGACAATGGTCCAGGCCATGCTCGTGTAAACGCTCGTTTTAAGCACAGCGGCTGCAAAAAGATCCCAGCCCTTGATCTCCTGCCTGCAGTCTTCCACCTCACTGCGTGGTACCGGCTTTGCTGGGTTCGGCTCCAAGCCGATCAGGCGCAACAGCGCCGTGAAGCAGCTCTTCAGCACCACCCGCGCCAACAGGAGGATCGCGTAACCAATTACAGAACGCAGCACGGCCGCGGCCGTGCTGCTCCGATCGAAGGTCTCAGTGCTGAATGCGCTTGCGCCACCACGGCGTTCTGCCTCCATGCGAAAGCCGACAGCACAGCCGAGAATGAGGCCGCAACAAGTGCAGTTCTGCAGGAAAGTCGGCGTCATTGGCCGGGGCTGCGGATTCCTCAGTCCAGGATCCAATTCTCCCCCCTCCCTTCTCTCCCTGTTGATGTTGATACTAATTACCAATCACGCACAAGTATCAAAACCAACACGGACGATGCTAAGGCCAGAAGAAGAAAGCCCACGTGGGGAGTTCCCAACATGAAGGCATCGAAGGCGTCACAGAGGCTGATTGCCACGAGAGCCACTACCAGCCCGAGGATCATGCCTCCCTTCACATCCATAGGGGAATGCACCCCAAGATACAATCGGCCGAAGCTGATGGAGAAGATCCAGCAACCAGAAAGAAGCCCCAGCGCAGCACCAGAGATCCCAAGCCGATGATGAAAGCAGTACAGCACCGTGAAAAGAGAGTTGCTGACCTAAGTATGCAATTGTGCTTAATCTTGAGTTCGGGCCGACCCACAAGGGCAGAATACACCCTCAGAAAATCTCAGATTGAAGACTGTCGAGACTGCTCAGATCCCTGCATGGACCTATGCCCTTCCTTCCGAGCAATTGTTGTTCGCAGCCGTGTCGTTGCATCCAAAGCCGCTGAGTTCATCGCGTGAGTAGAAGGAAACCCGAAGTCGCGGCAAGCTGTGGAATCGATGTGGGAAGCGCTTGAAGGCACCCAGACCTCGAAGCCACAGGACAGAGCAGAAGCGACAGTCAGTGCCGCCTCTGACAGAAGCTTCCCGCCTTGGAGTTGACGTTCCGTGGTCGAGGGAGCCGAAACACGTCCTCGAGGCCACACATCACAGGGGCTCGAGCTGCCCAGCCATCTTTGACTTCACGCAAAGCTTCCCGTAGATGCAACGTCTCATGCGGGCCTTTAGCAGGTTGCCCCAGACGAGACCAAAGCAGACCACGTATGTCATGTGGCCTCAGATGATCTCGGACAAGCATGTTTTGCAGTGCTTTACAGGACTTGCGCCGGCGTTTTGTGCCCATTACTGCGGCCTTGACCTTTGCAGTTTTGAATCAGACTCGGCACGTGCAAACCTATAGTCGCCACACCAGAAAAGAAGTGGCAACAAGAGCAGATAAAACTCCTCTTCGGCGAAGAAGGATGCCACCAGAAAGACGCGATCCAACACCTTGCAACCTGAGAAAGCACTTCACTAACACTTCCAGTCAGATTCCTCGCAGTGCAAAAGGCGCTAAATACAGGTCCAAGCCGCGAAAGCTTTCCTGCAATCGACACACGCTCTGAGCACCCTCCTGAGGCAGCTTGGTAATTGACACCACACAAGAGAATTCAAGAGAACAAGCTCGGCTGGGCTGACGGACGAGACAAGAACACAGAAACAAGGTGAGATAAACTAATAAGCTCCTTGACCCTCTCGTGCTTTCGAGCACGACTGCTCTCCACGTTTGCGTCCATGTGGAGCCAAGCTATCGGTAGCGCTACCGACAAAGCAAAGAGTTCCTGAGCCGAGCTGCCAAGCACTTTGTATGGCCCTCTGCATCTGTTTTCTATGCGCATTAGAAGCACTCGCATCATGGCCCTCGTGGTCGATCAAGGCTCTCTCGCTCGCAGCAGGGCGGCATCGACACCTGGAAACCAGGATTTAGTGCGCATGCTGGCGCCTACTGGAACTTGCATCAGCAGAGGCTGACAGCCCCAAGCCAGACTTCATGCGGTTTTTTGAAACTAATATCAGGCCCCGCATCATCCCACGTCTCATGCAGCCGCATCATGCCGAGTCGAGGTTTACCAGACTGGTAAGATCTCATCAGATCTCACTGCGTGATTTGCAGAATACTTGGACACAAGATAAACGAAACTATTCAGTTTGGGAGGTGACTGACAAGAAAATTCTTGGGTTCCTGGCTGGGCGAGATGAAGAGCTCGTCCTCCACCCTCAGCACATCCAAGGGCGGGGAAACCAGCTCCTCCTTCTGTCGCTTGCTAGGCGTCTCCTGCAATGGCATGAGAAGGTTCGGGGCCTCACGTTTCGGAAATTCGGGAGCTGTCCACAGCCTTGCAGATTTCAGGGGCTGGCCTTGTTGCAAATGTCGATTGCTTGCCCGACCTGCTTTAGATGAACCAGATCTTCTGCAGCACCGCCCTGCATTGCGCGCACGCTGAAGGAGGCTTGTGGACATGTCCGGCTAGCCTCTTGGCCTTGATCCGAAAGTGTCCCACGAGGCATTTGAGTCAAACGCGGCAAGATGTTCAAGAGACTTTCGGATCTCCGATCTCCACCCCAAGGGTCTCGAGCCCAAAAACCTTCTGGGAACTCCAGTGTGACAAGCTGAAAAACCCTGGTCTCCGGACCGCCTCTGCGGATTCCGGCTGAGGCGAGCCCTGCGAAGGCGCATATCTTCGTGAGACGCCGGGCAACAGAGTTTTCCAACAGCGAGGTACCATCCGCCCGAGTTCTGCTATGTACCAAAGAGGCCAGAGCGGACGCTGGGAGGACGGAAGTGACAGCTGCACATTGCAAATGTGAGCGCTGGTAAGCGCGTGCGCATGATGCAATGCTCCGTGTATGCTGCGTTCGAACTGGTAGGCAGGAAAACTCGAATTCGCATGCGTTGTCATAAACCCAAAGCCTGCCCTGAAATACACCTGGCAAAGCTCGTTCCTGCACGCAATAAACACGACAACTCTGAAACGTTCGTTCACCACCACAAACTCGCCGATGCTTGTGCTTGTCGACAACGAGTGGAAAAGAAGCCTGTGGTGAACTTGAAAAGTCTTAGTCAATGCTGCTGTCTTCAGTTGTGCAGTTGCACACTGCTGCTACGTTGCCGAATCATAGAGCGGCACTCCGTCGGGGGCCTAGTGTCTTGCAGGGCTTGAACAACTGTCGCCTGTTGCCGAATGATAGCTGCTCTGCTGTCTGTTGTACTGACCTCGTTGGGAAGGGGGGCACGCCATTCATCTCATCGAGAATCGAGGGAGCAGCCTTTCCGAACTGATCAGAGAAATAGGTGGCAGAGGAAGGGGGGTTCCCCCTGCTAGCGCCTAACGATCGCTTATCTGTCAGGAGGAAAGGCAGCCCAAACGGTTGTTGTGACCCAAAACCAAGTCTGTGAGCGACAACTCAGCAGCTTTGAAGCCGCCCGATTTTCAACAGAAACGATCGCAGCCCTGCAGCACGCCTTTCTGCGAGTCAACAGGTGCAGGGCCGCTGCCAGCAGCCAGACCTCCGCGCCGGGGCTTTATGCTGGGAGTTCTGTAGCACCTCCGCACCTCACTTCTCGGACTGAGAGAAGCAAGCTGTGCTGACACTGACAACATGAAGCACCTGACCACCGATGTCATGACAACGGTCTGCTACCAAGTGCCGCACGGTTCCAGTCCCGCCGACAAATGCAGGAAGAGCAGCATACCATACGAAGGAGGTCATATGATCGGAGTTAGGATCTTCCTTGTCTGATGTTGTTAACTCTGACACGTTTGGCCGGATATTGGTTGGAGGCCGTGCATGGCGCCTGGCCCTCGCCGTCGGTCGCAGATTACTACGATGCCAGCTACATACTGAGCCAAAACGGGCAAGTCCAAGGTTGAAAACGCTCTGGGTGTAATGACGACATACCCGGCCCCAACTTCGCAGAACCCGTGCCTGGGCCATGGCGTCGCTGGCCTGGGCGCTTGAATAGGAAAAGCCTGTCTCATCCGTCTCTTAGCTCCAATTGTCGCACGGAGGCACCAGTTCCACAGCTGCAGGGCAGCTACCTCTAGATTAGAGAGCAAGCCTTGGCAAGGCACTGGCCAGCACCGAGTCGCGTGCGTCGACAGTGTGGACACACTTCTGCGGCAGGCTGCACTCCGCACTACGACACAAAGCATGTCATCGAATCTAGTCGGTTGGTCGTGCGGCTGTCAGTCCCCGGGGCTCACTCCATCTTCAAAGCCGAAAGGGGGGATGCTGGGGCCCAGGAAGGCTGCGTGCAAATGGTAGAGGCCTCCGATTACGTGTTGTTTTAGAAATCCCAGAACCACGCTGGATTGAGATGTTATGCAGGCACAGCAGGAGGCTGGCTGATGTATGATGGTCGCTGGCGGCCAAGCTGCGCAACTACTTCACTAACAGCACACCCGACAACTGAGAACTCCCTCTGCCATAACTTGCATCGAGTCAGCTGCCTTTGATGACGTGTCAACGAGGCCGATCCACACCGGTCCAAATCTCTTCAAAATGGCCCCTGGCCATTCCTGAAGCTTCTCCCGTGGCTCGTGGATCTTACCTGCAGTTCTGTTGAAAAAAGCCAAACTTCGAGTCCGCTCACGTCGAATATCCTGGCAGGTGCCAGGGATGGCCAAAGGCATGAAGCCTCGGCGTGAAACCCTACGGATCCTTGGGCACCCGTTCAAAGAGGATGGAAGCTTCAAAGAGATATGATCGGCTACAAGTAAGTCGCTTCGCGGGCCCAGCTGAGGAGGAGGGCACCGATTGGTGTGGTTGCCCGGCAACCTCCATCTGCAGACAATGAGCATTTTCCTACCTCGTAATTGCCAGTCTGTCAAGCACATGGAGGCGTTTCGTGAGCCTTTCACACTGGCTCGACCTTGCAATGGCAACCCTGCCGACCCACTTTAAGCGGAGCGACGGTGAGATTCTTGCACACTGGCAAGGTGTCTGCTTCGGCATTGGCTCAGAGTCCCCAGGTTTCTAAAGCCGCCCGGTACTGAGCGAATTGGAACTCTTATGGGAGTGCAGCCTGCCTCTAATACCCTCGGACTTATGGCTTGCATGGTCGGCAAAGGTTCACCTTGGGCACAGGTTCACCTTCACACCTGCGAGCGGCCTGAAGTGATTCGGGTGCATATGCCAGAAGCCCTCTCAGTTCGGACCACCGCGAACAGTGTGAGCACTGGAACCCTCCTTCGCAAGCATTCTTAAGAAGAACATCGCCTGACTGCACCCGAACACTCCAATGCACACACGCTATGGCCAGGACTCGACACGGTGGATCCGGGCGGAAGTACAAGGTCAAGACTGTTGCATGATTGATGCACGGCAACATAACTCAGATCTGCAGGACCCACACCATTCGTAAAGAGATGCTCTGCATCGGTGCTCTAGCAATGCTTCGCATTGCCTGATGGTATGCAAGCTCGTGCAGTAAAATTTGGCTTAGAGTTTGTTGTACAGGCGAAGTACCAGTTCCAGAAACTATTTGGCAAACACGGCTTGCGAACCACGGCCCCCTCACGCAACTTTGATGTCACCGTTTGTGACTCTCGCGCAGGAAACCTCCCAAAAACCAGGTGATGCTTCGTGAAATGCTTCCGAGATGCAGGAATGAACAAAGAGGTCGAGATGGCAAACACTTCACTGAAAGCTGCAACACTTCGGCCCGGCACCCAAGTCGAGGATTTGGAACTTCTGGCCATTTCTCACAAACCTTAGTCAGCACAACGACCTAGTTTGGCAAGCTGTGGACGGAAGGCACTGGCAAAGGTCGGGTGGACTTTGGTGGCTAGACGGCTAGGTTCCCTGCGGCGCGACCCTTCTGCTACACCTAGTCAACACGGCAGACCCGGGAGTGGCACTTGTTGAGCTTTCTGTGAGAAGCCCGCTCCACGAAAGCCTGGCCGGCTGCGGAAAGGATCGTCTCTGGGCTTTGAGAACCGGCCTCGATATGACCTTTAAGCATGCAAGGAAACTGCAGCCAATGAGACACGGGCCTCGCTTTCATTGTGCTTGGTGACGAGCCACAGCTCTCCTGTACTCAGGTCATGCACCGTTCCAGACAAATTGACAAACTACCAGAGGTGACAATGGTGCACGTCGGACACCCTGCATGATGTCTGAAGTCTACCCTTCTGCAAGTTCGCGGTTGGAGCAGCAGGATACGAGCTGCCTCTCGACACGTCGAGAATCTCCGCGACTGTCAAGCCCTGAGTCAAAGAGCAGTGAACGGACTCGTCCTGATTACCCAAACCTGAATCTTCCTGGGGAAGCCCAGAGCGTGACCCCCAACAACCACCCGTGTACAATGCAGGGTTGCAAGCATGTTTGTTAGCAAGTTCAAGAGCTGAAGCGGCTTCAAATGGTGGATGCAACAGCGTCGGCCTTGATTGTGTCAATGCGGACGTGCACAGAAGTCGCCACAGCGCCGGCAGACTGGCCACAAAAACACGCACACACGCACGCACGCACACACAGACAAACACGTATGCATATACATATATATATATATGTATGTACAGACACATTTCAAATGCATAAAAATGTGTGTACATGATATACACACACGGACATGTATGAGCCTTGATCAATATTGATTCTTTTTTAAATGGCCTTCTTCGCGGATTTTTGTTTTCCTTTCGAGGGATGTTTGTAGTAGCAGCATTCGTCGTCGTCGTCGTCGTCGTAATCGTAGTAGATACTACTAGCAGTGGTAGTAGTGGTAGTAGTAGTAGTAGTAGTAGTAGTTTAAGTAGTAGTTTAAGTAGTAGTTTAAGTAGTAGT